GTCATATTATAACATTCAATGACCAATGACACGAACTGATCTATGATTGAAGCTGTCCCCGGGTACTTTAACCAAAAGTTTTGAACAACAATAAGAATAATTGCCTCGAGGAAAATTATAAACGGAAAGTAAGCTACAAACCAGTGAACCGCCGTGCGACCACACACTGTCTCAACGTAATCGTACAGCCGTCTGTCTGGTAATTTCAGCAGCATTGTCGACTTGCTACCTAGATGTATACATTAGAATTATAATAGTTGAGTTGACGGTTTTGACCGCCATTTTGTTTGGGTAGGCAAAATGTCGCAAAATAACAAGGATACGGTGTGAAATCGATGTCAAATAATTCCAGTTGAATTACTATTCTAAAAGAATCATTAATTTCAAACGTTAGATACTTCGAAAATGACTTAACTGGCGAGTTTTGAAGAAATTAGTTGATCTAGGGTGCGAGTGAAGTGATTTTTAGTTTCCCATNATGTGACCTTTAGTCGGAGTCTGTGTCTAAACATAGATGATTACGTAGTATACCCATGCCTAATGTAACCAAAATTCTACAGGTAACCCAAACTGTAAATTGCGCATGTAGCCGTTTTATATATGTCTTAAATCAAGCCGTATCTCATTACGACTTCACACCGATCTAAGTGTGTCATTGTGAACAGTTCTAATTATAAATTCAGCGCATGCACAATGCGAAGAAACGAGATAAAACCGGTTTTACCGTCTAACGGTTGTCAAGTCAACAGTGTAAACACAGCTATCAAATTCGAGCGCGTAATTCAAATCAAGACACTTTATACATGACTTCATCGAAGTATTAAATTTCACGACAAATATGTTTCATTACATCAAAACAGAGTTATCGAGCTGAAACGCTTGATGAAGACGGCGTGTGGAAAGTTTGCCAAATTGAGAACACAAACTATGAAAAACGTTTAATACCGACTCATTGATCGCTTGAGCGGAGTACTTTTTATTTGAATTGTTAAAGTTTTGATTCTTTCGTAAGTTTATATATCTCGAGTATAGAGGTAAAGACTTTGGAWAGCAATACGAAGAAGAGAAACGAAACACTCAGATAACTCGCTAGTTTGCTTCCCATCAAACGCTACTTTTCTCCTTCTAGATTGTCAACAATGATGTCGGTCGAAACTTTTAAGTTTACAAACTTTCGATGTCAATTCGTCGCGAATAWTTTAGTTTGTTTCGATCATAGAAGGGAAGCGAAACAATCAGATAACTCGCTAGTTTTGCTTCCCATCAAAACACTAGTTTAATGCGATGTCAACTTTCCGATAGCAAACGACACGAATATGTTTGTTTGTTTTTTTTCAATCGTACTTTAGTGTAATGGCTTATTAGACTCTGAATTCTAATTCGGAGTGCTTCTCCTTCGTAACTGATTTTGTAAAGCGGTAATTTGCAGAACGATTGATTGATAAACTTAATAAAACTGGTTTGAGAAGAGACTCTTTCTGCAAGGTTTTATTTGTTTGTTCCATGGCAACGTGATAGTGATTTACATAAACACCCCCCGCAGACCGCTTCTTCGTGCGGTTCGCGGGGGGTAAATCGTTAATTTATGGAGACACATTTAGATCGGTGTGAAGTCGTCATGTGTTAAATCATCTTTTAACATCTTCTTTATGGAGTTTTAATTTGAAATTCTTTATATTACAAGAACTCGCTGAGATACGAATTTTCGAAAGTTCAATTTGATTGGACAAGAGAAGGAAAAAAATATCTCTAGGCGATGATGTAATGCTCTATTTATTATACAAACTTCAATTTCAACAATAACACAAAGAGAACAATTTATACGTAGTATCCATGGTAACGTGTTATTTTAACTTAAATATAACTTTTTCGCGCGGGAGATTACCTGGTTTTCATTGACGTTTATACTACTATTAATTATCTAGTGTCGAAGATTCTACAAGCAACTTTTCTCAAACTCAATAAGGAAATTTTGTAAATAATAATAGAACCAGGCCCCAAATTTCGATTCTAGACTCAACAGTGGCATATCCAGGTTGTCATAGTGACTTTTGTTGTATTTTGTTTTTTTGGGTTTTTATGTAACAGCGTGTACGTTGACCATTGGTCACCATTGATCGTGGACAAAATAGGTTTTATGGGGCTTAGTACATTTCCATTTCAAAATCAAAACAAGATTGAATGCTGCCACGAGGGACGCCAAACAGCTTTTCAGTGAACTGTGATACAATATCAAAGACGAACTTCTCTTT